CACACCCTCCCCCCTCCCAAGACCCTGGTGGTCACCACGAACTCCGCCCCCTCCCCGCCGGCCGTCGTCCGCAGCAACGGCTCCATCGGCCGGAAGCCGCCGCCTCCCCACGGGCAGCACACGCACTCCTACGCCGTGAGCCAGGCGACACTGGAGCGCATGGGCGCCGTGCCAGTCATGGTTCCAGCCCAGAGCAGGGCGGGCTCCTTAGTATAGTCTTAACCAATTTGCAGGACGGATTTTACAGTAGAGTTTGTGTGATGCCAACCTTCCAAATACTTCCGTTTCAAAGCTGCGACTGGATGTTTCTTCTTTTGTTCGTTTTCTATTGTTTTGTTTTTGTTTTTTTAATTTTCATTGCTTTTTATAAAACAAAGGAAGTTCGTAATGCTTTGTATGCTGTTGAGAAGAGACGATAGCAACAGTGTTGGGGCTCTGTGTCAAGGGCAGCCATGCAAAGGCCGTGATAAATAGGAAATGATTACTAAATGTTACTAAAGTGTAATTACATGTGTAATAACTAATACTACTGTGTAATTACAAAGTAATTCCAAACCTACATATGTGTGGACATACACATTTTAAATGCATTTACAAAAATCTTCAAAATAGTACTGAAAGTGAATATGTTGACTAACAAAGGTACATTCTATTCTTTTTTGTAAATAAAAAAATGCATTGCATGGGTTTTGATGGAAGAAAATCAGTTTCCACTCAGTCACAGTGTCTATGGTTCAGAACAAATTCCTTCTAATAAAGGGTATTTAATAAGGAGTGGAAACACCGTGATATTGAGTTCTCAGATGTGCTTTCAGAGTTCGTGTCACCACTGGATAAACAGGTGCTTATGCCTGCACTTTTGTAAATAGCTGAAATTTAAAGAACAACCTGGAATGCATATGTGGCACTACGCATATAGTAAAGTATGTTTTATTTTAATAATGAACGTCACTTTTTTATTTAAAGAAATATCTTTGGTCATTCAGTATAATTTAATATTTTGCATAACTAAAAGTCCTAGCAAAGCCTAAAATGTTGAAAAGGGTGATTACCAAATGGATATAGCGCATATATTTTAAACAGCCTAATTAAATTAAATACACTGGAGAGAAAAAATGCTTCACATTTAAGAATGCACAGGAAAGAATAATTGGATGTTGATTTATAACAACTCCCCTCCCTTTGGTGTCTGTGCTATTGAAAACTGTCTCATTTAAAAGAAACAGCCTCCATTTTTGTGTACAGAACAACATTAAGGTGTTTCAGTTCGGATCATTTAGAACTCACAGCTCAGCTCATAAGTTCATTTTTCTATTTTGATTCTGCTTTTATGAATGTTCCTCCATTTTGCTTCATCTTACAATGATTTTTCACCTGCGAGAACCCTGGAGTACTAGTGCTGCTTTTGGAAACACGGGGAACTGTATTTGTAAAAAAAAACATTTAAATGATTGTAAAGGGTAGTTCTCTGTTTTACAGAATTAACACTACCATTAACATTTTGTACTGTAAATATCTGGTAAAGATATATATATATAAAGATTAGTGGGGAAGGACGTTATTGGACCAGTGGCGATATCTCATGTCTTAATTTACATGTTTTTTGTCAGAATGATCGCAGAATGGATCTTTTTGCTTGGCCTTGTAAATGTCTGAATAGAGGACGTTAGTATACCCCAAAGTAACCATAGCACAATACAGATGATGATGGCATTTTCATCACATTTCACCCCTCAGTATTTACATTACTGTAGCCACAGTAAACAAGTGTGCTGTTTGGGGTGGAAGGAAGCAGAGGAAAATCTTATTAAAATTTCAGAGTGGTAGTAAAGCACACTTCAGTATCTTTTAAGTCTTGTAAACTGGTATTCGGGTCTTTAAGATATATAAATAGTTCTGCTTAATGGACAGTCAAGGAAACTCAAAATTTCCATGAATGTGAGCCTCACTGCTGGTTGGTAAATCAACAGCTTCTTCAAGGTTTAAATCTACTGATTCATCAAAGGTCCTTTCTGTTTCAGGGGGTTTTCTCTTTCCGATTTAGCTATACGGTATATGCTTTTTTCTAACTGTATTTTGTTTATACATCAAAATAAAGCAGAACCGATAACTAAAGTCATCCATTCACATCATCCACAATCCAGTGTGGCAGTGATCTGTACAGAGCTTGAGACAGACCATGAGAAAACAGGTGATTCTACCTTTGCGGTAGCTTACTGACACAGCAAGCTGTGGTGTCTATGACCCAGTGTTCCACAAAGGAGTCGTCTATTTTAGGCTGGTCTGTCACCCAAGCAGTACCTAACAGTAACCACTAGATGGCACCAAAATCCTAAATGAATATAATTTATGCACAGATTTATGAAAATGTACACTCTGTTACAGTTCTTGTTTGTTTCTGGCTCCACATGCATTACTGGTGGTAACCTTACCACAGTTTGAGAAACCATGTGTTGGATAATTTACTAATAAGTAGGGGCAGCATGTACTGTATGTTAAATAAAGTTATGTAGATGCATGTCAGTGTGTCAAAATTAGTAAATACAGTGGAACACTAAAATGCAGGAGAAACAAAAAAAAATGTGTTTTTACGCCAAATCAAGACCTCCGGTTTTAGCACATTTTAAAAACCAGGCCCTGATTTTTAACCAGCCTCTCCTAACTGAGGGCTGCTGAGTCTGAGCTCTTTTGCATTGGCTGTGGTAGTTTTAGGTGAGCCACTGCAGCCACTGCAAGATTACAGTCCTCATTCAGGCTGCTTTATTCTCCAGTGGGACCTGTGTCCTTAGGAAAGTTTGTGTCCTGAAAAATACATGCTTGGACCTTGACAGTTGGCACCATACACTGTAGGATATACTGTAAACATGTTACAATAAGGGCAGTAATGAGGAAATGAGTCTGTATGGATATTGGGAATTCTAATATACAGTAGTTTGAGGCATCATGCATTCCTCCACAGTACAACCCTGGCCTTAATTAGGATGTCCTCACGCCTCCTGCTTCACCTGCGACATGGATGTCATGTTTCAGTCAAGAGTAACTTCCTATTCAGCACTTTAAGAGGCAGCATCACTGTTTTAGCTATAAGCCTACCAAACTCCGAAAATACATTTTACCACCTTGGTGATAAACGTATTCCTCATTTGACTGTATTTTCTTGTTTTTATAGCCAGTGTATTGTATTTGTCGATACATTGGAATTGAGAGGCACACCAAAAACAATAATCCAAACTTGGAAACAGAAAAATAATGAATGTTTTTCATAAGAAAAATAAAAATATTTAGGCAGAGTCACATTATGACTGCACATAAAGCCTAAAATAATTCCCCCAAAACATACCATGGACCCAGTTTGGATATTTGGCCAAATGTTTCTTCTACCCTTTTACATTTTGCATGCTGTAAAATATAAATAATTCAGATTAAACAAAAGAAATGTGACTTTTGGCAAAATATATCTTCCCACTTAAATAACAGTCGATGTTTTTCTTTTCATATGTGAAGTAGTACATGCAGAACAAAAAACAGTTATTTTGTATTGGAAAAACTACAACACGATTTTTACTACATAGCTGTCTAGGAGCTATAACAAAATTTCAGAATGCATCTGGAGTTTTTATCCATACCATTTTATATGATTAAGCTGAACCTGACTAACACTTTATTTGGTAATTTATGTTATTTATGTTACCTGAACAGATCTTATTTCCTAAAGGAAATGGAAATTTCTGATTTTATTCGTAACTGTTCTGGTAATGCAGCAATCTCTGTTATATTTTCAGCTACAGTATATTGAATTGCGAACTGTTTGTGCTATTATAATATGTTGTTTAGGTTTCGCTGAGCTTCTTTCAGATACAAATGTTGCCTATAATGTAAGCCTATGAAGAAATAACCCATCTTTAGGAAACAGACTTTGGAATGATAATTGTTTCAGTTGCATTCATTTTTTTTATTAGACTGAAGTTTTGTTCCAAAAATCCTACAAACGACATACACTTTGTTACGTTTAAGACTGAAATGTTAAAGGAAAATTAAATCAGGCTGCATACAGTATTTGAATGGTTTTGCTGACACAATCTGTTTCTGAAAGAACTTTCTAAACTTCATGCAAAAAGGTTTTTGCAAACATTATTCATTAAAATAAATATATGCTTCAGAGTCACATTAGGACTGGCTTTAAAGGAACGATTGTTTTATTTCATATGCAGTTTGTTTTCTTGCCAATGTTGTCAATTTTGTAAATATGTATAATATATCTTGTACTTACGGTTGAATTTATGTAAAATACAGAGATTAACATTTCAAGTTGTAATGAATAAAAATTGTTAATAAATCTTATTTTGTTGCTGGTTTTCTATGTTTTTTTATTTTCTTGAAAGTATTAAACCATTCACCCTAATTGAAATTAATTGTGTAAATTCTCTGTGCTCATAGTGTACAATGGATATTATATTCTTTAGCATACTCTCAAAGAAGCAATAGCATACAAAATGAATTTCTATATATAATCTTCATTATGAGCAGGCTTTGTAATGAATTCACAACACATTCTAAAATTATATTATCATTTTTTAAGTGAGTGTCTCTTTAGCATTTGAAGAGCATGACAACATTTTTTTTCTCATCAAAACTGCAAAAAGTATTATTCTGGTTTGCCCCTAGATGGCAGACAACTCCTAAGTATCAACATCAAACGTCAAGAAAATACTATTGATGGTATTCAATTCATATCAATTCTATTGATGGTATTCAATTCATATCAGTTCATCTTACTAAGAAGGAAACATTTTGTCATCTTGACTCACATCCTTTAAAAAAAAACAGTTCAAAACAAGTAATCGTTAATACCTGAAGACTATCAAATTCCTCTTCCTAGGTTTCCTGTAGTTTCCCATGTAGTGATGTACAAGAAATATTGTGGCTGATCCTTAAAAGGGAAGTATCTACAGTTCGCTGTAAGCTACGTCTTGTATTTGTATTAACAAATAAACCCACAGACCATGAAATAGCTTTACTCACTAACAGACTCAGAAGCCACTGCCTTTCTAATTTTTTTTTACCACTTTAGTTAAAAGCTGAGGCTGCAACACAGGCATTTTTAATGACAGGACAATTTGTTCTCTTTCATGTATCTTTTGTGGCTTTGGTCCATGTTTCCCTGAAAAAACATTGCATGATGGATATCCTATTATAAAGCTGCATGAAAAGGGAGACACCTGGCATGAAATTCTTGTGAGAGTGGCTTAGTCAGTCTCGGGCTCAGTGTACGAAGACAAGAAAATGAGGAATGAGTGTTTATGACCTTCTGCTCATCAGAGATAACACAAATCAAAGGCCTATTATATGCAAATTTCTCAGCAGATATAGAAACTAACTTTGTTGGTTTGCAAAGAATGTGTGTGTACGGTTTGCACCCCTTTTCAACTTTTGTCACACCTTGATTCGAAATTACAGCTAGAATCATCCATAGAGCACTGAAGTATGGAGAAAAATGCTTTACTGGTGATAGATGATCTTATACCCAGGAATGACAATCCGAAGTACATTTTAAGTACCTGTCACTGCTGATAACTGCTGAAACCTTTTAACTATATTAAATTGTCAGACTTGAACATGATTTATTTTAGCACATAGATATATCAGATTTTACATGAAAACCCATAAAAGTATTCTTACAGCCACAGTGAGGCCTGCAGGCAGGTCACTCTGCTCACAGACCAGTGCCACTGTGTGCTGTCCCTCTTTGCAGCATTCACTGGAGGAATGGGAATGCTTCCTGACGAAGGTTGCAAAATGACTCAAATGACTTTTAAAAACTTAATTACTATTTAAAATAGCTTACCGAACTGCTGTTTGCTTACATGTGAAAGAGGAGATTTTAAAAACGCTGCTTTGCATTTTTTTAAAAAATATTTTATCTTAAATTAAATAGAAGTTTGTTTCTTAGAGGAGTTTGTGCCTTTGACTCATCTTGAGAGGCTCAGGTCAAAAATCCCAAGTGATTCAAGTGAAATTTCAGCTCATGTTTAATGGCCTTAAACCCCTTGTTCAGAAAACCATGGATTACTGGAACACTTCTTCAGTATCTCCTTATATATATTGCATGCAATAATTCACAGGCATTAAGAAAATTCTTATTTAACAATAGGAATAATTCAGAATCATCGAATTCTTTTGAGTCTTCTGTTGATAGGAACAGCATGAGGCCCTCAACACTGAAAGCTCAAAGCCTGACTGCAGGCATGCTTCAAGGATGAGCTGGTGTTTTGGCAGCCCGCGAGCCTCACAGCCTTTGAGTGCAGTTTTGAATCAGAGTGATTCAGATGAAGAAATAGCTTTATGATTAATAATTCTTAAAGGAAGGCAGCAGATGCCGCGAGGAAGCAAAAAAATAAATAAGGTTCTGAAAATGAAAATAGGGTTCAGTAGCAGTTTGTCAATGAATTCATGCACACTGGTTGCTGCCTTTAGTTCTTAAATAGATAACCACATTTTTTAGCAAATTACCAGCGAACACAGTTCTAACCCTCTTTTAAAATATATTAATCTGTGTGAAAGGTATAGTAGCTTGGATACAGTAAATGGTATCAGTATCCGACAGAAAAGTGTGAACACAGAAACTGACTTTCTTTTTCTGTCCATCAGGTGGCGCCAGTTTAACACCTGCGTAAAGAACAACGATCCGTTTTGCGCTGTTTGATGAGTTTATTTTAATATTTGCATTCTGTGTTTGAGAGTTGGAATTTCATTTTCTAACTTGTATCTGTTTTCATACATCTATATTTCATGTTTATTTTTTAGGCAATATTTAAAGTTCACTGTTGCAGCTTGGAAACAACTCAGGTTACCGTTTGTAGTTGTAAAAATATTTTGAGACTTTTTAACTTCAAACAACAGACAACGAAAATTATAATGCGATCTGTTGGAAGATGTATCGATGATCTACCTTACATTTAACTCACATATGTTCAAACGGCAGCATCCCTCTTTGTTTCAAGTTAATGGGATTAAAAAAATCAGAAACGGAATAATAATAAAAGGGTTATGTCGTCTGGTTTTCAGCATCAATCTATTTAAAAGTCTGCGGCTGTGTCTTGATCATCTTGAATTTGCTTCGTAAACTCTAGTCAGAAAACCTGGTGTACCTAAATATGAATTTATCCCTTTGTTTGTCAGCATCTAAAAACAATATCCATTGGAAAAACGCCAGTGTGCGTAAAAACAGAGCTGCTCTCTTGCTCACTCAAATCGAGTCACCCGAGTGCTACAATCACTGCGCCTCTGGAAGCTGTAAAATATTGAGTGGAATTCAGATCTTACTGTTTTAGCTTTACATTTCCTCGCTCTGCCGAATATGAGGGATCTTTCGCTACTTTTACTGCGCTTTCTCTTGTGCCACAGAAGAGGCAGGAAGCTGTCCTAGTCCGACACACACTGGACACACTGAGGCCGTACAGCACCGATCTTTACGATTTGGCTGAGAAAGAAATCTGGGTGTTAGTGTTTTGTAGGGACAGAATCACACCCAACTGACTCTCTGAGTAATGACAATGAGGGGGGTTCACTACCCCAGCAGCCATATGCCTCAATGCTGCTTCTCCATTCTTCATCACAATGCACAGAAATCGTCACATTACTTATCTCCTAATACACTCCTTGCACTGTCCCCCTTCCCTCTCCTCATCTGCTCTCTAATTAAGGAGCCCAGGAGAAATGCTCTGTATAGGGAGGATTAAGTAGCCGCAGGTGTTCAAGTGTTAAATTTCATTGACTGGAGCAATCCATTTATCTCGGCTATCATTAATACAACTGTGTACAGCAGGTGCTTCATCTGCTGTAACAGAGTGGGTTTGCACTGCAGTAAATCAGACAATATTTTAATATGCAGCAGGAACCAAGCAGGTAAAGCGATACAGAGGGTGAGTGTAAGATCTGGCCTACAAGAAGAGAAGGAGACATAGTGTACTTTGTACACCACTAAAGTGTAGTACAGTATATATCCAACTGAACAGAATAAAGGGAAATAAACTAATGCAGGGAAACAAAAAAGGCAAAAAAATACATTGATATTCAGTGGAGGAGACTCCTACATCTCTGTATCATGTTCTTAGTCTGTCATGGTGAAATAACACTAGACAAGGATGTGTTCTCCTCCTGGGGTATTTGTCTTCTTCCTCCTCCTGTTTCCAGTTTGTTCTGAATGTCTAAAGACACACAGTGTTTGAGACGCTGTGTCTGTCTAACAAAGTCTCAACAGAGCACCATAAAAAAATAATGTGTGGCATAAATAAAAGATGAAATGCTTGCCTCAAAATTATTGATTACAGAGTAACAACTGTTATGGGAAACAGGCATTCAATTTTTAGAGAATCATCCCACAACAAATTTCATCCAGCGATTCTGTTGGCTTGTGCTCAGAAGAAATGTAATTTTTTCCTGACGTGTTTGGACTTAAAGGATGGGTTTTTTAGGTGTCAAGTTTAAGGGATACTATTTCCACCTAATTTATCTGTGCTACACACCAGAATAAGTACTTTAATCCTTAAAACATACAATTGCTTCCTAAATTATAATTTTTCCCATTTCAAAATCATTCCATATCTCAGTCCTCTAATGAAAAAAATACCTTTGTTTAAAAATGTGCAATAGAATGACAAGAGTCAGCCTTTCAGTCATTCATTCAGGATAAAATGAATTTTACATACACATTGTTACTGAAAAAAAAGAAGTTAGATTTCCATTACAAATACAAAAACTCAGCTGATTACTAGCAGCAGAGCTAAGGTTTGTACGGTACAGCACAAATGATAGCCCTTAGCTAAGCAGTCAATTACGGTTTCTCATGTCTACAGTCCCTTCCATCTGGGCTTTCATTATAAATGACTTCAGGGGACAAGTTAGCCTGACTGACAATACTTGTAGAAAATAAATTACTTCTAAATTAAGCCTGAGTTTTCATCTGCTGGCGCCCTTAAGTAAGTTTTTTTTTCTTTTCACATGATAAAGTTTTCACTTTCAAACTACACATTTTTTTTTCATCCTGTTTAAAAGACAAATGAACCAATTATTTAAAGGCTATGATTTAATCATATGTAATTAAAAAGTCTGGGATATCTTATTTATTTCTGTTTGCTTTTTCTTGTCCAGTTTTCAAAAATAAGGGGGTGATCACAAAAGAGGTTCCCTCAGCCATGAAACTATTTGAGAGAAAATCTCTGAAGGGAAAGAATGGTGTTGAACTGAATGAAATAAACTCTGTCTCTTCCCTCTTGCCCAAAGTGTCTAAATTATAGTCTAGGCCTACCATCTACATTTATGAAGTACATCCTTAGGATTTT